CCCCAGCTAGTTTTCCCCTCCATGGGGAGGGTTGGGGGGGGGGGGGGGGGGGAGCAGAGGAAGAAAGCAACTTAACTTCATCTTGAAATGAGTTCTCAAAGCCCCCACCCCCTAGCCTACAAATACCATTGGACAAATAAATATCAGTATCAATATCTGTTTTTACCCCCTTTTGTTTTTGGCGGTCTCATTTGATGTTAATAAAAAAGCAAATTTGCATATTTCCCACTTAAAACCGTGTGTGTGATATTTGTCCGTGTCTTGTGGCTCTCAAACGTCTGGCGTTTACTCCATGTGGCTCTTAGATGAGCACAGGTGGGAGGATGCGGCTTCGGTCAACCTGCTGATGGGCTTCCTAGAGGTAGCCGGTCGGCCACGGTGGGAACAGAATGCTGGACTCGACAGGCCTGTCGTCTGGTCCAGTCGCCCCAGACAGGAAAACCTCTTGAGCGGGAGGAATGCGGGTTGGGCCCCAGTGGAAGAGCTTCCTTCCATGCACCATGCTCAGCTCGATAGAACGGCTGTTCCCTGCCCACCCATCTACTGTTGGCCAAAATACCATCCGCTGAAAGAGAAATCCGATTGAAAGGACGGGTGGTTAGCCTCCCCCGGAACGCTCCCCCCAAAAGAGCCCGAAATGCAGCAGTGTGAGGTCCAGGTCATGGATGTCGGGGAAGCGAGGGTAGTCCTCGGCCATCTCGGCATACGAAAGACGCGGCTGACTGGCGCTCTGCGAGACACAGACGCAGACACCGGGGAGAAGATGGGAAGAGATGAGCGGGACAAGAAACCATTTTAGGTGTGTGTTCCCCCCCAACCCCACCCCCCCGCAGTCTGAATTTGTCTTTCTGAAGGGAAGAAGGACAGCAGCGAGTGTGGGAAAGACTCTAACTCCTCTAAGGCAGGGAAGATCATGCAAAACACCTGACAGACCCTCACCACAAAAGAGAATTTATGCTAGCTTAGTTAAATTCCTTTTGCTTGGCCAGACTGGATGGCTGATTCCCAGGCACAACGTATGCAGACAGAGTTTGTAAATATGAATCTGGTTCACTGGAATACTTAGAATGTAATTTATTGGAGTGTGAAATCTGGCCTGATTTGACAGAAAGCCAGTTTTGGTGCCGTGGTTAGGAGCGCGGACTCTAATCTGGGAGAACCGGGTTTGATTCCCCAGTCCTCCACAGGCAGCTGCTGGTGTGACCTGGGGTCAGTCACAAGTTCTTTCAGAACTGTTCTCTCAGCCCCACTCACCTCTCAGGGTGCTTGTTGTGGGGAGGGGGAGGGAAAGGAGATTGTAAGCCACTCTGAGACTCCTTTGGGTAGTGAAGGGCCATGGGGTATAAACACAATCTCTTCTCCTCTTCTTCTATTTGTCCTCCCTCGTAATAGGTTATGTGAACTGGCCATCTCAAAAAATTGTCCCGTTTTTCCCTTGTGGATGAGGATCAGAAAACTACCTTAGAAGTCGCTAAATATTTAGCTGTAGCTATTGCCTGTAAGAGAGTTGGGATCTCGATCTGTTCGAGACGTTTGAGTCAAACGAACAGTGAGATAAGAAGAACCTCAAAGGTAGGAGAGCCTGGTGTTTCTAGGTGTCATCCAAAACAGAGATGTGAACCCCTCTCCCCCCCGTGGGAAGGCAGGCCTAGTCCCAAAGTGTGTGTGTTTTTGGGGGGGGGAGGTAACTCTCAGCTGCAGAAAACAGGCACT